CGGGCTAGGGCTAGGGCTAGGGCTATGGGCTAGGGCTAGGGCTAGGGCTAGGGCTAGGGCTAGGGCTAGGGCTAGGGCTAGGGCTAGGGCTTGGGATAGGGTTAGGGATAGGGATAGGGTTAGGGATAGGGTTAGGGATAGGGTTAGGGATAGGGATAGGGTTAGGGATAGGGCTAGGGATAGGGATAGGGTTAGGGATAGGGCCATGTTAATTTGATTATTCCTTGTTTTCACCGTAAGTTGTGAAAAAAAATATTGGAAAACGATACCAATGTCGTAAAAATGCTAAAATCAAACGAAAAAGACCTTACATGACCACGTAGATTTCATGTTGAAATCAACTTTTTTTTTTGCCAAACATTTTTTATTCGCACGCTCGCATGAGTTTTGGGGTTCCAAGGGATGCCATCCATTTAAGGCCGCACAACACAGTATTCATGGGCGAACCCCGTAGTCAAAAGTAGTCCGGGCACAAAGTAGTGCTACACAATACTAGGGAAGGGTGCAGAGATTGTTTTGTGCATGGCATCGAGACAGAACCTGTGGTAAATGTTAGAGGAATACGTCAGTTTTGAGACTGTAAAAGTTGGATTATGGTGCGTGTTGAGTCGGCGTAGATTTGCGCTTGGATACTTGTCCCGCCTAGTACTGTGATCTGACAACTGTCCATCATGATGATTCATCATTGTCAAGTTTCCTCTTCTTTGAGTAGTGTTCAATTCTGTCTTCCAGGCTCTCACACATGGGTCTCTCTAGCAGTGGCCGGTACACTTTAGTTCTCGTACCTTCAATCAACGACTCATTCTGTTTCAAGATCTCCACACAGCTTCTACTTCCCTCGTCCTCCATCTCTCCTTCAACTTCACCTCCCTCCTCTCCATCTTTCTGTACTTCCACTTTCTCTAGAGAGTCAAGCATGCTCTTTACGATGTTTGTCTTGATGACGTGGCCACACCACACCTTCTGGAGGTGGTGTAAGGTCTGTTCATGTGTGTCGTGGTCGTAGATCCAGCTCACACCGTCAAACGTGCTGTCGTACAGGACCAGTGGCAGCTCGGAGGCCATGTGATACTGAGGCTTCCTGGGATTGCGGTCGATGTCCAGAAGGTCGTCCACGATGCTCGGTTCTTCCTGGCCTTGGCCAATCAGGAACAAGACAGCCACCATGCATCGCACCTGTTCAAAGGGGAAGAGAAGGTCGAGTTTAACGTAATACAGATACTTTGCAGAATGCTGTAAATTCATTTATTTTGAGAGTTTTTTTAAGAAAAAAGAAGGGGAAAACAGATTTCCAGTGTTCTAAATTTGAAAACATTGTATCTGTACCTATATTGTTTAGCAAGTATGACAGCCATGGGCATTGGCTGGTTTTATCCGATCCAACTATGATAAAATCTGCGAGGTGGTGACAAGAATGCCTTCCTCCTTCCCCTGTGGTTCCTTTCCTTGTCATACCTGTCCTTTGTCCTTCCAACCCCCAACAACTTTCAAATGGAACCGCATGTATCTTTAGAAGCCTGCATGATGCTGTCTCTGAGTCCATTACCAAATTTCACTGCAGAGTCACTACGGATAATAATGGAATTACTTAACAAACAGAGCAATAACACTGGCACTGGAGAAAAGTAATTATAACATATCATTAAGCCTAAACAATACACACTAATAGAGTATTGGATACATTTACATCAGAACAATACACAGATCACAGGTTAGAGGTTCAAGACCGTGACAAACCCACCTGGTGCCACAGGAATGCGTTGCCGACCACCTGGAACTCACACATCTGGTAACCACCTGTCTCCTCACCTGTCACATGCACCTGGCAGTGGGGGTAAAGGTCAATCAGGTAATAACAGGAAACACTTGTCTGGAGTTTTTTTTTAACCTTCTTCCTGCCAAGATAACCTTCAGGCAACAAACTTGAATAGGCTACAGATAAGGTAAGGTAGCAGTGAGAAGGTTAAAATCTAAAAAGATTTTGCAGCAACTTTAATACATGTATTGTTGATGAATCTTTGTAGTTTAGCTAGAAAATCAGTCTTGTTAAGCTGTAGCCTCCAGTAGTTGCTGCAAGGACACAACAGACTTACATGCAAAGCTGGATTCAGGCTAACATCAGTTCAACAGCCAAGTTGGGCCCATCTAAGCTTAGCAGTCCACTTGATTACAATACTTAATAATATCTCATTTCCAAAATCAGCAGTCTTAATTAATACATGTACCGGTATCTATACAACTCTAAGGTGTAGGGACAGAATAACACACCTAGAATGTCTATAAAGCCCTTGCCTGAAACTCATAGTGTACCATTAAGGGGGCACACCCCAGTTTATTTGGGGCCTCTATTCGAAGCTGCACACCCTCAAATCTAGCGACCGTCTCTGGCGTGGAATAATTCGGAAGGAGAATAACTGTATATGGGACGAAAGGATATCTCTTCAGCTACAAGACAAGCTGAGTTTGGTTTCTTCAACCTTTTTAAGTTTGGTAAAATCAACGGAAAAACATTATTTTCACTCCAAAATTAATGCCCAAAATTGCGAATTTTCGCGTAGGATAATCCCACAAAAAAAAATTTTCCGGCAGAAATGATTGATGCTGGCAGAAAGACCCAAGCCTTGACTATACCCGAGTAAATTATAAAGAAAATTCTAGTACTGTAATTTTCTAAACAGTCCACGGCGCGAGGGGTTACAAATCCACCCCTACGAAGCCGCAGAGCGAAAACTAGGTCAAACGGGCGGATTACACTTGGCGCGCAAGGATACCTGGAAGTAAGGTTCGGAGCCAAAAGAAATTTTCACCCCAAAATCACCATTTCTTACACTCTTCAGCCATGTTAATGTTTAATGATACTTCGTGGCAGTTTATAAGAAATGTCACCTCAAACTTGGACCCTCAAAACCCTTTCGTCACTTTTTTACAACGGACTATCGCGGACCCCTGTCGCGGAAGAACTGGGGTGTGCACCGTTAAGTACATTACTGATATCTTACACGAGTAGACATGATCCTCCTGATGAAGGTGACCACTCCATTAGCAACGTCCATCTTACAGAAGTTCCTGAAGTCGTGCTCTCCTACTAACTTCTGGGCAGCCTGTTAGGGAACAGAAACATGACAAAATGACTGACAGGGTCTCTTTTTATATTGCATCATCATACCAAAATACCTAAAAAGATGTTAGCATACAGGTAGCTGTAAGAAAAATGCAATCAGAAAACTGGACATATAAAACAAAAGAGCAAGTTGAATCCTGTAGTAGAAACTAGTACCGAATACAGTACATCTACCATCACTACCTGGTGTATAAGTAACATGTCTTACTAGATGCATGCGCTGGATGTCCAGGTTTCCTTTAGGGAAGAAGTACTTGTACGTCCTCTGCTGACAGCTGAACCTGGCACTGAAGTCTGGGTCCACAGGTGCCCAGGCGAGGACCCTTATGTCTGGGGGGAGGACCTACATACAATACACATGGAGAAAAATGCAAGCTCTGAAGTCTGGGAGCCCAGGCTAAGACCCTGTTTTTTTGGAGGAAGACATACAACATGCAAGAATAATTCACAACTTTTATCAAATCAATTTTCAGCAAAATTTTTACCGTATTCTTTGATGATATATTATTACAATTAATGATGTACCTTGTTGAGGATGTAAACATATTTGATTTCTGTCGTATTGTCTCCCTCTCTGTGGTTGGCTGTTCCTTCAGGTCTGGGGATGACACCTGCGCCCTCTGTCAGATTGGTCCGTAAGTCCAGAGAAATCACCTGTTTGTTGTGGGTCGAGAAAGACAACAGTGACTAGATTGCACAATGATACACTATGCTTGTGATGCTACTATATGCATGCTCACTCCTTTTACTGACACTTCGAGTTAATACACAATATAGTCCTTGTTTCATCTTGGAGCGTTGCCTGATCTTATTGACAGGACCATCCTGTCAATAGTGCAGATTTTTCTGTTATTGACAGGACCATCCTGTCAATAGTGCAAGTTTTCCTACTGTTCACAGGATGATCCTGTAAACTGTGTAATTTTTTTCCACTATTGACAGCATGATCTAACCAAAAGAGGTATACAAAAGTTTGTACATAGCATGATATGATTTTATATTCTAGTGTCTCACCTGACCAAAGGCAGACACACCCTTGTCCGTTCGCCCACACCGGTGGTAGTTAGACGTCTGTCTCTTCTCTATCAGCCTTGTCTTGGTCAGAGCTTCAAACAGCCGTGCCTCGATGGTGTTGTCAGTGGTGTCCTGACTCTGAAACCCGTCATAGCTCCACCCAAGGTAAGCGATCTTCAGAGCCACGTGTCTCGTGTTGTACTTGGTGAAATCAAATTTTCTCTGCGGTTTCTGTTTCCGCTGTTTCTTCTGTGTTACCGACTGTTCTGTTGTTGCGTTGTTGGTGCTTTCTAGCCTTGATACAATCTCCTGGAGTTGGTTTACTTTGACGATCAGTTCCTCTCTCGTAAGCTCTTCGGGTTTTCGAGTTTCGGAGAGGGCCATCGTGTTGGTGGGGAGGGGGGCAACTTTCTAGCGCTACAGACCCAAAAAGTCACACCTACCGGTATCTTGGATGTGTCGACAGTATGCAGAAGCCTATGTTCGCACAAACACGAGAATTACACTAGAAACAGGGATCCTAGCAAAGAAAGAATCGCGAAAAACTTTCTGGCGCTGGCATACCATGCAACTTCCGCTATGTGTGCGAGATGCCGCAAACGAAATGGAAGATTCTATTCAGTTTAGGAGTTTTTTTCTGTTTTGTATCAAAATGTGAAGGTTTTATGAACTGTTTTAGAGAGTTTTTAGAAACAAAAATCATTGCGTTAATATAAATATTGCTTATGTAATATTATACTTTGCACAATTGGATGTGAAACTTTGATATAGGAAGGTAAAAAAATCTAGACACTCCTATACCCATTGTGGACTATGCCCTCCTAGTTTACGACAGTCCGGGTCCAGTGGTTTTACGACAGTAATTACCGCCGTTCGTCGTGTGTTCATTTTGCATGCGGACACAACAACATGGCAGCTGAGTAGGCGGTCTCACAGCGCCCAGCCGAGCGCCCGGCCGTTCTCCCTCCTTCTGTCGACGATTCCCGTCCTCTCACCGCCGCCGAACATGGACCAGAACGGCGAGCCGCCACGGAAGAGGAGCGAGAAAGCCACCGTGGCGGTGAAGAGTGAGCTCTCGGACGAAATGAAGGTGAGGTTTCCGGTGGGAAGGGAAAGATTTTTCTCGGGAAAAAGAAACGCTGTTCAACCACCATCTGTAATGCATTCCAGCCGGGCTCGGGGGATGTAATGCGAGCTATAGGCGTGGCTTGCGACCTCCATACAGTCATGTCGGCTTCTTGCCTTCCATCAGGGGATCGCCAGCGCGATATATTATCGCAGGTCGGGCTGGGATGGCGCCGTGCACTGATTTCTAGTGGGTGCTATATGGGGATGTGTAGATTTCAGGTGTGTGTGTTGGAAATCGACATCGTAGGAGGAAACACCCACCCAACAACGGGCGCGGAAGGGAACACCCATGGGTAACCAACCGACCCAGCCAAATGGCCCCGGGCGTGTATTGTCAGCATAATCACTCAACAGGGCCAGGGCAACCTTTTGTTGGGAGGGAAAGGCGGGACGTGTATGTAAACAAAGGGAGTGTGCCCTGCCACTCAGGTGTGTTGTTACACCTGGTTACATTGCAACTTTTATTGATTACAGTCGTATAATCATCTCTTGTTTGACAGGTCTGGTTTATTTGTGTTGTGTTGTTTACAAGTGTCATGTTGTTGCTTTTTTGTCAAATGATTTTAAAGCCCACTTCCCCCGTTTTATCATTTCAGACTAAAGATGAAGTAGAATTTAAGGTAAGGAACCATCTCGTAAGTTGTGTGCTCTTTTGAAATAGAAATTGTTCTGACAAGACCTGAGAATGAACTTCTTGGTTGATTACTAGTAACGTTAGTAGTAATTTTGATACTCAATATTTGCATGAGGATTTTTTTTATTGAGGTAAGTCTGTTTTTTCAAAGAATATACTTGACTTGAGGAATAATAAAGAATATATAAGATTTCATAATTTCTAAGAATTTTACATGAAAGACATATAAGAGTTTTTCTATGTAATATGTAGAAAATATTAGACACCTATTTTTTGTATGCCCCTGTGACCCTGTCCTCTATCTCTGTCCTTTTTTGTGTTCTAGAAATTTTATGCAATTTCATAAAAAATAGTAAAATTGCAACTTTCTTTGTGGTCATGATCTATCAGTATTTGCATGCATCTGATATTGTAATATGAATGTGAATAAATTCTAATCAACAGCTGTCAGCAAATTTACTTGTAAGAAAGGTAGTAGGCAGTAACCCTGTATGCTAATTATGCTGTTCTGTTCTTTGTCTCTATTGGTTGTTTGGAGGGAGATTCAGCGCCACAATACAATAGAACTTTAACTTGTGTATTGTCCCGTTGTGATTGGTCTCTCGGACAATCGAAGATGTGGCAGACGCCAAAAGCTGGGACTGGAGTCTTGTGGTGAAGTAAACCAACACTACAACTCCAGCAGTGTGTGGAATATAATGTCACTGTTGGGCATTAATGATTACCTCAATGAAGTGTAGGGTTGCACAGACAAAACCTCAGTATGTGTGCCCCCAGGTCCAGTGTCTAACGCCCCCAGTGCTGAAAGGGTGTCCACTATGGGGTCTATTGTTTGACACGACCCCCTTCTGCTAGTGTACTAGTTCCTATGTAATAGCCCAAGCCCATATAATCACTCATGACAAGCATGTGGCTAGCTCTCCTTCCCTGTTACCTTGTGTTTCTAAGGTGTCAACTTTGCCTACAGGGGAAACAACAAAGGCCGGTGAAAGTCGTTTGTTTCATATTTCACCCCCAACAATTGACCAGGCCAGGGAAAGGGGCAGTCCCCAAGCGAGGGGTAGAGTAAGTGGGCATTGTTCCCAAACCCACATTGTCCAGCCCCCTGCAAGAAAAAAAAGAAGGCGTCCCCTCAAAAATCAATAGGTGTAAAAGTACACTAGAAGACAGAACCCCAAGCCGGGTGTATTTTTACTCCAGTTTCTTCCTGCAAGATAAAAATTGTTGTGTCTGACTTGAAGCAAGTCTGCTGGCCTGTTTCTGTGAAACCTTATCCCCGACCTGTGTGCTCCCGCCAGCCCACGCACCTATCCAGTGACATGTTTTTGCAGGATCTTCCCAAACATTTGCATATCTGTGTGTCAGATCAGGCTCATGTGACAACATCGGCCTTTTTGTAGTCTCCAGCTCTCTCAGTTCTGAAAGTTGGGGCCTCCACGGATGAAAGGCGATACCAGCCAAGGTACAAGAATTTCAACTTTTACCAAGGTGACTGTTTTCTCAGGGATACAGGACACCTAGCCGGTATTGAAGTCAACATCCCCTGGTAACATAAGTGCCAAAGGTCTAGTCCTGTTCTCTGAACACATCTTCAGGGCAGTTTCGGGTTGCCTGCTTTGCAGAGATTTCATTTCAAAGCAGGGACTTTCTCCTGTTACAGATCTATACAGATTCCTCCAAGGTAATTATAAAGCATGGTAGTGTCCCCATGCATGATTAAATATCACTTTTATCGACAACTCTCTCAACTGCATGTTGCCACATGGCCCGTTAGGAAAAAGGTGTATGGGAATAGCTGGAGTGAGTTATGGGTTTTTCTGGGGAGGAATCAGTCTAAAGATGGGGAAATTTTGGGTCTGTAAAGAAGTTGCAGATATATATGTAGAGAAGAAATTTCTGGATGTACAGAAGCACCTATAGACATATGCGGGTTTTGAAGATTTCCTAGCTAACTATTGTGGCTAACTGACGGAGGGATGGAGCCAAGAAAAGGATGTAAATTTGAAAAGGACACAAATGTTTGGTCATGCTAATCTACAATTAAGATCACACCAATTTTATTTGCTAATAATTCAGATGTTAAAAATAATGTTGAACTGGAATGTCTGAGTCTGAGGGGAAAGTTATATTAGTGGAGTTTTAGGGAACGAATATACTAGTAGTCAGATGCAAGTTTTCCTCCAAGCCCACTGTTTTCATGTTGACAACTAAGTCTTGCTATTTTTAGTTTCACATTGAGACGGCTGAGAACCAAGGATTTAAATTACTGTAGCCTACGGGTAAAATGAAGGAAATAATTGAAGAAAAAGCACTCAGGCACAGCCTTAGTGCTATGTTAAGACGAAAGCAAATAAGATCCAAACACAATTAAGATATTTTTTCTTCCCTGAGGCTGTTTAGATGTGATATCTTGGAGACTTAGATATCAGGTTGGAGCCTTACATTGTGGTGGGACTAGAGAGGTTGTGTTTGGCAGATAAGGTTACCCTAACCTGCAGGGAAACACACATCCCGTACTGTCACCTCCCATACACACAGATACAGGTGGGCTGCCACAGACAAATGCACTTTTCTGTCCCTTTCAAGTCACGATAAGAATACTTGAAGTATTAGGTTACATATAGATGATGGGAGATCTGTTTGAAACTAGCACAGTATATGATACAGGTAACATAGATCTATTGATGTACAGTGTGTAAAAAGAAGAGAAATATTATCACTTTTTCCAGCATCAATCATTCTATCTAATGATAATATCATTTTATTTATATTATATTATTTTTAATAGCTTCCAGAAATCTGGCCATTTCATCATCTTAATTAATTGGCAGACAAAACATTTTGTGTATTGATGTAAGGAAGTTAAAGATTTTCTTAAACCTACCCAAAATATATCAAATTTTCACTTTGCTTCATCTAACAAAATTGACACGAAATAAAGGAAAAATCAAAAGCTGGGGGAGAGAAAAGATGAAATGTCTGTCTTCTTTCTGCTACACATGCATATTTTCCATATATAATAATTTGATTATGTCGATATATAATTTCTACTGGGGTTATTTTAATGAGGCCTGGGGCCTTGTTGAATTGCCCTATTTCCATGCTATAAAGAGTTTATCTGTTGATTAGCATATATCAAGAGGCAGGTGGTTTGTATCCAAGCTAACAAAGATACAATAGACATGATGGTAGAAGATGAGCATGAGAGTGTTGTCTGATGTACATTTATAAGACGTACTAGCATTTTATCATTAACACTGGGAATTGGTATATTTACAGCTTGTAAAAATGACTTGACAACTTTTAAAAAATCCTTATGTAAACGAATCGTTGTATAAATCATGCAAGGAATATAGATAGCTTACCTCTAACTAGGAGTGAAATAGTGTTTTTGTCTTGTCTGTCTGTTTGTATGTGCATTTGTGTGTGTTTCCACACTGCAGTTCCTGTACGCTTTACCAGAGGGAGCAGTGCAGTTTCTATACCTTCTGCCAGAGGGGGTGAAGTCTTCTATCCCTGACTGCCTCTTTTTACTAGTTTTGTAATACTTTTAAAAAAGGTGAACTTTAGATTCATCAAGAAGTACACAATCAATGCAAAAATCCAGATTCAAGGTTCCCCTATCCCTTTGTTACTCTTAAGAGAAGTGAGAACCAAGAAAATAACTTGATGTGGCCTTAATTGGATCTGACAAGTTCCTGACTGGACCACATGTGTGACACAGAAACTGTTAGGTAATCGCAGACGAACATTATGGAACAGTGATCAAATGGTCTTCTCAGCCAGCTTTTGGAAAAGTGAATTTAACATTAATTTTCACCATTCCATTGGGTGGCCAGAGACTACCTCATTCAAAATGGCATTGCCGAGGCCTTCGTAAGAATGTCTGCAAGTAGCACACTTGATCGAATGAATATGAATATCTGACATGTGCACAACTTAAAGTTATATGTATAACACTATGTAAAACTTTCTTATTTTGTATTTATAGATATAATGTGATGTACAGAATCGATGCCTTAGTCCAAAAAAGAGTTCCTTTTGGTTGGCTGCAGAAACAGGTGGTTTTGAGGCAGATTGACCTACAATGACCTGACGTTTTGGGGAGTTAATTAAAAACATGCATTGCTCTGATTGGTACAACATTAGCACCAATGGGACATTTCAAATGTTGAAAGGTTATCATTATAAAATTGTTATTGAAGCATTCATGTGTTAATGTGGAATTTGCATAGCCTGGCATCCATCCTTATTCAGTCCCCCACCCCCCTCTATCTGGTTTAACGTTTGTTGTTCCCTGTGTTCCGAGGGTTAGACTTGCTTGCAGACTGATGCTGGGGCTTGATGGTAGCTCGCCATTTGCCTTTGTCCTGTGGTTCTTGGGCACAGCAAATCTACCCTTCTATAAATATATTTGATATTTGCCAAAAAAAGTTGCTACTGAGCCAAATTGTAACTTCACGAAATAGAGAGAGGTAGAGAATGGTTTATTTGACGCAAAAACCTTTGCAGCACTACTGCTGAATTGTGTTTTCTGTACGCAAACACTAGCCTGGGTACTATCTGGATGTTTACTCCGCAGTGCTCAACTTTTTCGAGCGTTGCAGAGCGAAAATCTGGACATATACGTCCTTCAAATGGCTATTTGATAGAATATTTTCTGTAAAGTGTTCTGTTATCAAACCTTTGGTAAATCAATCATGAAGACTTCTCTCTCTGAAGTGGCTCCTGACACCTGGAGGTTGCCCCGTTTCTGTGTCGTCAGGCTAGGTGAACCAGCTGGTATGTTAACATCAGCCAGTGACGTGCCAGGCAGGGTGTAGTCTTGCCCCAGCGTACCCTGTCTGTTATTACACCTGTCAGGTTTGAAATGATAATTGACAGGTCTGACCTGTGGTATCATAGTCATGATGGAAGGAAAAAGGGGTTACCTGACATCCAGTGATGTTGTTGTGCAACTTCCTACAGTTTGGTATTAATACTACATTTTCGATTGCCCAGTTTTGGCTAGGTGTACCTGTCAAACTGAGTTGATAATTGACAGGTGTGATGTGTGGTATCGCAGTGATACATGGATAAAAGGGGTTACCTGACATCCTTGTGCATTGTGTAACGTCTTAAAATTTGGAATTAATGCATATATGAGGTATGGGTAGTCCTTATACTTGATGATATTTCATAGGTGTGAATCAGTGATGATGATGGAAAGAAAAATGCTTACCTGTCATCCATGTCATAGTGTTGCTAGCTTGTTTTAAACTTTGGAATCAATTCAATACTACAAATGTACATGATTGCCTAGCTTTGACTTGTTTTACCTGTCGAAAGAAAGTATTGTGGGTTATTTGGTATGTGAAGCTTCTTTAAAACTTCAGCACAGTTTGTAATATTTTGTTAGTGATATTTTTGTAATTCTTAAAACAATTTACCTGAGTTAGAAACTGTAACAGTTTTCCCAGAGTCTGTTATGTTGACCTTGTGGTGTTTTAACCTTGACATTGGGCTAACCCTCACAAAAGCATATCACATGATGTCAGTCACTAGATATAGTCTACCTTCTGTGTATACTCAAACTCCAAACATGAAACCTGCCAAAATTGGAAGCCTACATGACCTAGTGTTACTTGTATGTATCTGTTACTAGTTTATTTAGAACATTTGCTGGAAAAGTTTGCAAAGCTTGACAGTGGGGGATGGTTATGGTAATACTAAAGGCAGTCTAAGGACCACAGCTGGTTTGGGTAGGCCTGGACTTGGAAGTGTTCTTGACACTGTAAGGTGTAACTTATGCTGGCCGTGACAGCTAGCCAACTGAGTCCTGAAACATAACCCAGGGAACCCTGTCCCTCCGAGAGTTTGACTGTAATCAAGATAGAAACAGGAGCCTGCTGCCTAGTTTCAGGTAACTCTGAGGCTGCCTTAGAAATAACACATGGGCTGACTTGAGTTCAAACTTGTTTGTTCAGCACTTCTAATATATACAAGGATGAGCTGCAAAGCAGTATCGTATAATGCATAACAGTACCTTGATGCAAAACAGTTGCTTTTCAGTAAACATATATCTCTGTTACCTATCTCATTGTGGATGAGAACTTCAAGATAAGTATTATATCTTATGTAGATTTTGGCAGATTTGACAGAAAATGTGAACTGGAAGTATTACTGGGTGGCCGTATCAATTTATTTACTTGGTTCCCAGATATTTTAAAGTGAAAATTCAAGCATAACAGTGTCATAACAGTAGCATGATGCAAAACAGTTGCTTTTCAGTAAACATATCTGCTACCTACATGTATATCTCTTTGTGGATGGGAACTTAAAGATTAGTATCAAATTTTGTGTAGATTTATGCAGATTTGACAAAAAATATGAACTGAAAGATTTCAGTATTAGACCATATCAATTTATTTATTTGGTTCCCAGAAATTTAAAAGTCAAAATTCAACAAGAAACAGGGAAACAGGGCTTTTGTGGAAGATGTGTACTTGACTCACACCCTGAAACTGTACAAACCAAACTGAATTTAAACAGAACTACTACCAGTAATACAGCATCAGTAATCCCCAAGGCATGCACACTTCAGGTATCCAGGTGTTAAAGACATTCTTGAGAATGCCTTGATAACACTCTTTAAAATTCGGCGGTCCACAGTACCTTGAAAAATTATGAGAGTTGACATTATATTTGGAATCACTCCAGATTCCAAATTTAGAATTATAAAATGTAGAATTTAGAATTGTAAATTATACCAAAGAGCAACCAAAAAGACACGCCACAAGTTTCTGAACTTGTGTACATCCCAATCCAGGTTATAGCTGGCATTTATAATTCACAAGCAATTGTTTCCAATTCATTATCCATTGTTGAACTGCCATGCTTTCGGCTACACCAACAGACACTTGATCTGCCGCCCCCCTCCCCACAGACACTTGTACATTCCAGAGGTATGCCCTGCCAATCACTGTGGAAAATTATGACCGGGATTGAATGTCACACCTCCCTCCTAGCGGAGTCAGGTAGAGCAGAATGGGAATAAAGAATATGCATGAATGGAAACTAAGCACCATTCCCAGAGTGTATAAGCAGGGAGGAATATATCACCATGGCATTAGGTATAACTCAATATTCTGGTGACTTAAGTAGTCATTGATACAAGTAGTTTACAGTGTTTGGTCAGTGCATATGTTTCTGTTGTAATTGGTAATATTAATTTTTGGCAATGACTCATGAGTAAGGCAAATAGTGTCATGTCACGCTGGATTTTAGGTAGATTTTTTTTCTTTATTGATTGCAAACCACTGCCTTTCCTTCATGAACAAAAAAAGTGAAAGAAATAGATTAAGATGCAAATTTACATCTAATCATGAGAAAATATAGAATTCCTGAATAGTATAAAATTAGATATATCTACATACATACATGTAGTAAACTTTTCCAGCACCTTGAAACACCTGTGCAGAACATTTGGACATGTCAATCTTTTTTTATCTTTTTTAATTTGAGACAATTTCAGGTATTCAGGTCAAACAGGAAGTTTTGTTCTTTTAACCTCCAAAACTCTTCCCATCCTTGAATTCCTCGTCATTTGGCCAATTCATTTTCTTGCTTCTCAGATATTCTATATATGAGTAGATGGAATTTTCTCTCACATTCTGTTTTCATCTTCATTTTCCAGTCAAGTATATTTTTTTATTTGAAATCTGAAAATCAACATAAAAGATTGGTGAGGCCTTATAATACAGTGTACTATCAAAATTCTGAAACTTTTCAGTTCAACATAAAAGTTGTTTGTTTATTTGTTTGTGTTTACTTCAGGACTTTGCCGAGCACACCATGAATGAACTTCTTGGCTGGTACGGGTACGACAAGGTGGACAAGGCAGACACCGAAAACCTGGACCTCAAGAAATTCACTGCCACAGTCGACCAGGGTGCCTCTACCTCAAGATCCGAGGGTAAGACATCATACAAAAGTCTTTGATGTGAGTGTGCAAAAATACGACAGCTGAAATAAGGTATGAAAAAAGAATCTAAAGGAAAGGCTAGAACACTAAAAAGAAAAATGGCAGTCTAGTTGGGTTTTGAAAGAGAGTTGGTCAGAGGTATTTATAAGACATAATTCATAATTAATTGCTCAATGATCCAGTCAAAATTTCAGAGTTAAATGTGCTTTTGAATTCTAACTGAACACGTTCTTGTATAAAAGCATACATTATTCAAATCAAGACTGGACAAGTAGTGGATAAGCTGTGAGTGATTCTTTGCCTGGCTTTCCCAGCTTTTTCTTTACACAATTACAGCCAAGCAAGAACATGATATGCCCTGTTTGCTTCTGGGCAAAACTTTCATGTCAAAGATACGGTAGTGGTAAGAGGAGCCGAGATGCCTATTAGTTACATCTTTCCATGGGGCTAAGCCCCTTTCAAAGTCAAAGAGACTCCAGAACCCTGCCACGCAAATCATATTTCAGCCGGATCATTCAAAGGAGTGCGCAGGTTGTGACATAGAATACACCCTGGAGTGGGTTATTTGGCTTGAGATCCCTCCTGGCAGCAGTAATGGCTGCTACTGAATACCCTCTCATCCTTTATTCATCACTCATTGGCTGGGAGCAGAAATCAGTTTATGCAAATGAGCTTCTTGTACACCTGACCCTTCCTCTCTAGGCGTTACCTCTTTCTGCTGTAGCTAGCCTTACTGTGATATACTGTAAATTTATTTATCCTTGTGGAAATTAATTCTGCAACAATGAAGAGGGCTTAAGCTATGTATTGAGCTCACAATTGAAGCAATTCTGTATCACAGGTAGTTTCAAATGCAGTCAAAACTTGTCGTGGTGTATGGGGAGGTCAATGCAAAAAACTGCAAACACAGAACTGCCGTGAACATTTCAAAGTTTACTGTATCATGAGCTGAAGTGCTGGGAGTCGCACTTGCCAGAGGATTACAAAAAGGGTTAATTGCTACATTGGCAAGGCGGAGACAACACGGCGTAGGGAGCTTATCCCGACTGCCCTGGCCGGTCGGAGAGATGTGGAGATGCAGCGAATTGTAACATCTTCTCATAATGTGGCCTAATTGATTCACTCCCCTCTCCTGATAGGGGAGTTGCTTAGCCTTCCCCTTACAGCCCAGTCCAGGTAATTCAATCATCCCCACTGCATTCAATACTCCATCTTAATGAATAGGAGGGCACTTTATACACTCCGCAATTGGATTATACCTCTATAAATCCAGTGCCGGGGTGTAATTACAAGCTGGTAAAAATTCGAATGCATCTCTTTGTGACGGCTGGTGCGTCCTTTGTGCTTTTAATGCGGTCTTGTGTTTCCTTTTATCTGGGTGTGCGGAGTGCTCGGCATAGCTGTCTGCCCGTCCAGTCCCGAAGGATGTCTCTGTCACTTAGGAGAATTGAAGTATTCCTCAAAATATTAAGCTAGCAATTAGGACGTAGTGGCTTGCGTGGATTCAAGTCAAGAGGGCATCAAAATGAGTCATTTACTGGAATATTAGATGTGCTAATGCAACAGCAAGGAGGCCTATAGCTGTTGGAAGGCTGAGGAAACCAACGTTTAAATGGAGGGCAAAATGGTCTTATGATAAAAGGTTGTTTTAGGTCGTCTTTGATGGTTCTGTCATTAAAAAAAATGTGTCAAAATCCTTTAGGTGACCGTGTGTAGGACAGTGCCCATCTATGTTTGTATATCCCGTGTGTGTTCAACTTCAATACTCTTTCTCATAAGAGCTGAGTGCTGAGCAGAGAAAGCAGTCTGTACCATTTTTAAAGTCTTTGGTGGTTGGTATGAGTCTATGACCAGGCTGGGGGTTGAACCATGGCAAAACCTCCTGGATTCAAAGTAAACACTCTACCTACTAGGTCAAATTTTATTATACTGTCATAGCTTTACAAAAAATCATAATTATAATGCACCATAGAGCAGACAATTAGAAAATCATTTATCGGCTGCATTCCTCACCTACTCTGCTTGTAATGAATGAGAGACGCTCGTCTGCAAGTGGTGTGGAGCACTTTCCAAAATGCCTGCTCAGATAAGAACAAGATATCATAAAGATTCGGAAATTACATTTTGCCGACGTTGCCAATATGCCGTGGTAAAAATTGATTTTGTGACTGAATTATGACCGTGTGGTTTCACCATGGCCTTGACTAGTCGAGAGTGAAGTCCCAGAACAGGGGCTTATTGTCTTGAGATATTCTTTCCTGTATTCAAACATCGCTGGGGAAAATTGGGTGGTGAAAGATTTATCTAGCGCTAGAAGGGGATGTTTAGTACAGAATCAGGTAGTGAAAGATGGTATCAAACATACAGGTACTAATAAAAATGGAAGAAACCATTTCAATGGATTTAGATTGCCCTCAATCGTAATACATACATTACATTTTGAAGCAAGTTTGTTTATTACACCAGGCCAATTTCATTGGCAGTTCATTTTCTAATCATTAGATGAGAACAGAGTTCTGAAAAAATTACTAGTATTTACTCCAAGCAAGTTAAATGTACTTTACACCATTAGGCACAGACCCTCACTCTTTCTATCTTGATGTTCCAGTTAGTCACATCAATTCTAGATATTCTGAGGCCAACAAATTAAATTAGTGTGGCCTTATAACTAAAATCAGGTTGAACAATTCTGGTGACAGAGATGTAACATTTTAAACGTATCGCCAAAGTTGTGAGTGATTAAGACAGTCAGTCGAAAGTTTTTACAGTATTTATTATATCCTCTCAGCTGCCGATATGAGATGAGAATGAGTGGTTGGAGGGGCAGTATTGATCTGGTTGTTATTTCCCAGCAGGCGGTCCCCAGCCGTCTTCCACGGGCGCAGCCGGCGGACCTTCCCAGTCACCGGGCGTGGCCCTCGGCAACATGGCCGCCGCGGGACAGGGAGGCATCGTGGTGGGCGTGAAAAATGGCGCTCTGCCCAGCCGTCCAGGTGAGGAGTGGGAGTTATGACAAGCTGGGGGGATTTCGGGGTCTCGAAATTTATTTTTTTTGTTGCTTTCAATTTTGTAAATTGCCTACAACTGGAATATAGTTTTGCATATTAATATATAAGCAGTTATTAACTATACTTTTTTGTGTGATTGATTGAATTGATTTTCTAATATTATGATACATGTATCAAAATTATTTTATGATCTCAATCTCATGACAGTCACTACCTCAAAAATTGCTTGAATACTTCAATGCTTTTGTAACTTCCAAAATTTTGTTATTATGAATTTTCCTCTGCAAGTTTCAGGTGGGTACATGTATTTCGTGCACTGTACATGTTTTGCTTTGTGTTGATTGTGACATGTGGCTATGACAAGGCTGAAAACATGTTTGTCAGTCTAGCTACAGCTACTGTCAGCTGCCTTTGATTGTACATGTATTGTATTTGGTTGATTTCAAAGCACCAAGGTTTTGCTTTGTCATATACAAAATGGCATTCGCCTTTTTCATAATGTAATAAAATGCAGAAGGAAGAATTTCTCAGGCAGTGCATGAAACATTGTGTTATTCTTCCTTCAAATAAAGTACTGAAGTTCAAATCGTACTATCTTGCATTGTCTTCTAATTGTGAAGTCAGAAGTTGACAGTTCTAATTTCAAACCAGTCTGTCTCTTTTTGCCTTGACATCCCGATCCATAAATCCATACCGCTAATTGACGAGAGCAGCTTGCGCAGCACTTAATTGAAAAATGAGCTGATTTGTATCTGCGGCTGCTGAATAACGAAGGGCAAAATTCTCGCTGCTGCCGACAGGTAGATAAGCCCTTCCGCAAGTCAGCAGATTGTCCACCAATGGGAGGTGACGATCACTGTCACATGACCTTGATGTTAATCCTGTTGTAGTTCAAATGAAGGGTAACCTGATGCGGTTGTTTTGGCTGGACTGATATTTTGGCCAGATTATCTTGGCTTCATAGAAGCGTGTATATAGTAGATACGTGGTCACTTCTGCTGGGCTCGAAATTCATTATTGGGAATAGATGCACTGGTGCACCCAACCTAAAAAATTGGGTGCACAAAAATATTTTTGGATGTACCATAGAGGATAAAATAAGTAGAATGTCATCAAACTACATGTAGATATGTTTGTGAAGATTAGTCATCCAGGATAATACTAATAAGAAAAGTTTGAATCTTTACTTCTGGATAAAATAAGAAAATAATGTCAGACGTTTCAGACGCCGTCCGGTATCTTTCATCAGTGAAATATTCAAAATT